TTATTGCCAAAGACATGAGACTGGAAGGCGAACAACTAATCCGCAGCCTGGGTCTCAGTTGGAGCAAGATACAACAAATATGGAGTGATAACAGACGATTGCTGGAATGCGTAATAGAAATGCTTACAGAATGGAGAAAACAACAGGACTATGAGACAAATCAAGTTGAGAAGATGTGTATAAGAGACAGATAGTAATACATGGGCCTTAACGAAAGATGATGAACTAAAGCTAAACACTTTCCATCGTAAGCAACTCCGAAAGATTATTGGACTGAAATATCCACATAGAATATCAAATAAACACCTTTATGATAGATGTACGGCGAGACCCGTGTCACTAGAAATTTTAGAATCGAGATGGCGATTATTTGGCCACATCCTGAGACAAAACAGAAACAATCCTACAAACCTGGCAATCGACTTCTACTTCACCGAGACCAATAACAGAAAATTCAGGGGACGTCCAAGGACTACAATAATCACAACTCTCCATAACGACCTATAGTAAGATCCAGTCTACCAATACTCAATATCCTGCTCAACTAAAAATTTAAAATGATATGGAGAAATTAAAATTACTGGCACAAAACAGACACATTTGGAAAGGGCTCATCGAGGAACTAAGTAAAGCGGCCGAAGCGGAACTGTCATCGGACTTTTCGGTGATACGGCGATGATGAGGATGGTGATGAGGCAAACTACAGAGGATGTTCAAGAAAAAGAAACCAGCGACAGGAATCCCATTCTTACCAGGTATTGATACACTGCTCTAATATTAAAATTCCATTTTAATATTTTTCTGAAATATTTCTTGAAGGTTTGCATAACAAGTAAAAATTTCAAAAAATTGAACTTTTGGTACACTATTTGTAAAAAATATGGTTTTTCAGATTATAATATATGTACATTTATTGAATGACAAGTAAAACTCTTCATTTTAAAATTAAAGTTTCGGTACAGTATGTGTAAAATATGGTCTTTAGGAAAAAACAAAACACTGATTGGTTGTCTTGACGTTCCCTTGAGATTGCTCTGACCGTCATCAGGAAAATAAAGACCTTCAATTTGCTGCCAGCTGTAGTGATGTTAATGTTAATCAGCTTTAAAAGTTGATGCTTGAGTGTCATTTAGTGTAAAACAATATAAAAACTGTACAATTTTATCCTAATCATAACGTTGTTAGATACTCTATTTGATCTGTTATTAATTTATTGGTTACAGGTCCTTCAATGGAAACCTCAGATGTCAGCAATACCAAGGCAGGGCAACCAGGTTGGTGTTTTTGTACTCGTAAAATATAGATTGTTATTGGTAATTTTAATCCACTTTTAAAAGTCAGGGCTTGAGTGTCATTTTGTATTAAAAAAATATGAAAACTGTATAATCTGATTTGGTCCTATCAATGTTTTTGGGTATTACATTTGATCTGTTAATAATGTAATGGTTACAGATCCTTCAGTGGATACCGCACATGTCAGCATGAATGTAGAGACAGCACAACCAGGTTGATGTTGCAGGCACTGTTTCACACATTATTTTGAATAAATCTATTTTTCATTATTATTTTTATTTTACTAGGTATTATCTTATCTTTATTTCAGAATCAAATCTAGGTTATGTGGATGATAAGCACTTATATCTTATTGCCAAAGACATGAGACTGGAAGGCGAACAACTAGGCCGCAGCCTGGGTCTTAGTTGGAGCAAGATACAACAAATATGGAGTGATAACAGACGATTGCTGGACTGCATAATGGAAATGCTGACAGAATGGAGAAAACAACAGGACTATGAGACAAATCAAGTTGAGTTAATGTGCAGGGCTTTAAAAGAGCAGGCACTCACCGAGCTTGCTAACAAGGTCTTTGGCTCACAAACATCAGAGGATCAATCATCCCATGTACAAGCAAGTACAGATCATCCTTGTGGAAGATTACATCGAATGAACCAGCAACATGATGGTCAGTCACTCAGTATTGATACAGATATCATATGATAATGATAAAAATGATGATAGTGATACTGGATAATTATAATAAATTGGTTTTCGTTAAATCAGTAATAACTTGAGCAGTATCTCTCCATAGTGCATTTCACTGTTCTGTGCCTGAATACTGAATATGCATTGCCAAAACGTTTATTAACATTGATAAAGATAGCAGGAGCTATCGAAATATCCGTTGTATATATATACATATATATGTATATATATATATATGTATATATATATACGTATATATAAATACGTATTGTATAGTGCATTGTGTGCAAATTAGAAAGTATTTTCTTATCCCACCTACCTTTACATATAATGCCTGAAGTACTACTCACGACAAAAACAAACACTGTATCTGTCAGGGATAATGTGTGTGTGTGTATATATATATATATATATATATTGTAACGAATCTCCTTCGTCTGTCAGGATAATTACACCTATTTATGAGCGTCAGGGTTCGGCGTCGGTTGTACACCACCGACTTCACTAAACAGAAAGCAATCAAATAATACAGACACAATTTGAATTCACGATCCACGTGAGGCAAGTCAGTTTTTATTTCCAAAATAACTATTCTAGTACTCACCCTTCATAGGGTCGTAGTATTCGTAAAGTAAACGTGCAACCTTGATGTAACAATGGAAGATCAATAACGGGAGTCTCTTCAGCATTCATTTATCAAACTTGTTTTTGGATAGGTTTGTTTCAAATAATAGGAAATTCTTGGTATTTTTGTTCCTTTCTGTGCCTTTTAGTTGTTTAATTTACAGATCAAACTTGACAATTTTAGAAGTGTAATGACATAATTTTTGATTCAATTTTGTAGATATGTAGTAGGCACCTTTTAGAAGAAAAAGGGCATTTATTCAGAAACATATTTTCAAAATGGTTATTATGCATGACTGTATATTGTAAAAGAAATGGTACAGCTTATTAGAATAGAGGAAGGGTGTTTGCCTAATCAGTGGAAGTCCCTAGATGGGCTCTGGTTAGATAATTAGATCATTGTCATGTAATGATCATATGCTAGAGACAGAAGCCAATAAAAGAAGTCGAACTATGAGAAGTTATGACTTGATCTCCCTGTGTGTAAAGTAGACGACCACCTGTATAACTTACTTTGGAATATTATATATAGGGGTTTTTTCTAAATTATAGTAATTTATCAATTTAAGTTAAGTAAACTAGATTGTGTAAGTGATTTTAAATTTCTACTTTCGGCTCAAACTTCAGGAAGTCCCGTTTTAATTTTATGTGAACAAAATAATAGGCAAAGTTAGTTATAGGATATATATATTTTTATATGATAATTTTGATGAATTGTGTATTTTTGATATTTAGAATTTATATTTTATCGACAGCAAATACTAACACCTTACTTTTAATAGCTATTGTTTAGTCCTTGTGTAATTTTAAAGTATACAGCAATCATTTTAAATGCCTCCTTTTTTAATGTATTCATATGTTTTTATATTGTAATGCAATGAAATTCAGGCATGCCCTGTTGATTGTAAATTATATGCCAAAATAAATAATGAACAATTAGAGACCAGAGGGCATTGGAGGACACATGGTAATGAGACTCTCCACCCCTCACACTGTATGAACATTGTAGCAGTGGTAGTTTTAAGATTCATATAGCACTGCAATTTGTCTGACAGGCAGTCTTCAATGTTTGTCAAATACAAAAGAGTGAACAGTAATGCTCTGGTCAGGGGGAAATGCATCCTGATGAAAACATGGGTAATTTTTAAAATTTGTAAATACATGCTGCCACCAAAATATTGTAAAAAGAACAAAACATATGCATAATTTTTATACTGTATTTTAATATACAAACCAGTTTGGTAGAGCTGGTAGAATCCTACTCCAACTTAAGTACAGTTAAGATATACAGTGGCAGATTGAAGGAGGGGCCTAGCTGGCCCAAAGCCCCCCTTAAATCTTTTAAAAATTTTAAGAAAATGGAGAAAAAAGGAAAATTATATTCAAATTTTAAGTCAGAGGGTGCCATTTTCGATCATCGAAAGGCACCACAATCATAGATTTTCTCAAGTCAGCCCCCGGCCAATCGTGGTGAGGCGGGTGTGTACAGACCCAAAACCTGTGAAAGCCCCTTTTATTTCAAATATCTGGATCTGCCAATGATATATGTTTTGTTTTTATGTATATATCTTTTTGCTCTGCTGTTAGGGTTGTTCATTCTAAAGTTCTTGCTTGCTTTGAATACCTCTTTTCCATTTGTCGTCGTGTATTTTGTTACTTAATAATTCTTCATTTTGTATTGTCTTGAATTCTGATAAATGGAAATAAAGTTATTATTTGAATTTGAATATGAATATGAATTTGAATATCAAAACTTATTCATTACATTTTTTATGCAGTTGTACATATTCATTTGGACCAGGTGAAGGTGTTATTGTTACTGATAGTATTTATTGTTTAGTGTGTTTTTTTTCTCATCAACGAATTATGAGTTTTCTTCCAGGCCCACCCACTGGTGCCACCACTGGTATATACAGTATTCAAATTGTAGGCCGGTGTAGTATCGATTATGTTTCAGTTATTGTTCATAGTCCTGCTCATTTTATGTGAAACCAAAACAGTTTTTAAGCTCTTGTTATCTGTTTGGAAATAAAGCATTCCATTCAGTTAAATGCTGTGTTGTTGGTTTCATTACTGGTCTTTAAATTTGGGGGTGGAAGAGGTGCATGAGCGTGATTTTTTTTTAGGGGACAAGAGGGATGCGAGTTCCCCCCCCCCCCACACATCCCTGGATACGCCACTGCACTAACATCATATTTACACAAAGTTTATAAATTATCCAACCGACTTGCTTATCAAAATATGACGTCACAGTTTATAGTTTACTGTACCTTCAAATTATTTTAAATATAGAAAATTAAATTCAGATTTAGTGTGCTCTTACCAATTACCAGATGCGAGTAATTACAAGGAGAATAAAGCACCAATCAGCAAGGCTTACAGATTCAAAAAATCCTACACAAATCTGGCATTATCACCCATGGAATCCAAATAGACCACATACGCGAAACTTAGACAGCAAGCTCATTTACAAAGACGAAGTTGGGTTGAAGGAAAAAAATAAAATAAAGATCAGAAGAAGCACCTTAATATGAACATGGATAAAACACGACTCTGTTAAGCTTTGTTTCCATAAACTCGCTACAGAGCACTTTTTTCTGCACCGTGTATCTGCTGTTCCCATCGCAGTTGGAGACACCCCGATTCATTTGACCATAACTTCACATCATCCGAATATCGGCGTTCAAAATGCCATTTTTTTGAAATAAAAATTTGAAAGTTAAAAAAAGAACATCGCATCATCCAGGAAGGAGAGGGCCAGCGTAAATGATTCAGGATAGGTAGTGCGGTTTAAATATAAAACATGTTTATAAAATTTACTAGGCATAACTATATAAAACAATATCAGGGGCGGATCCACAGAATTTCTGACGGGGGACCACAATATGAAGTTCTCACCACCACGCCCACCTCAGCCCCACGATGGTTGGTGTAAATAAGTGGCAGATAATCGAACTCTCCTTTCACACCACTGCTGGATCGCCACTGAGCATGGTTGCACTCCTGTTTTCCCTTTTCCTCTTTTTAACTCAAATTTTCTCACTCTTTAGTAGTATTGTAGTTTCGAAGGTGCAAGTTTATTCACCGTTTAAAGTAAAACCATTTCATCAAGATACAGTAGACAGAGGCGGGCTAAAAACGTTCGGATTTCTGGGGATTCAAACATCAATTGGTTTTTGTTTAAAGATGGAGTAAAAAAAAATGTTCATTCAACGAAAATATCCCTACCCTTAATCATTATTATTATTATTATTATTGTTATTATTATTATTATTAATTATTATTATTATTATTTATTATTATTATTTTTATTATTTTTATCATTATTATTATCATTTTTATTATCATTATTATTATTATTATTATTATTATTATTATTATTATTATTATTATTATTATACTATGCGCTGTACGGACTATGCATTTTACGCTTGTAATCCAAATCCAAATTCCTTTTAATTTTATTGTATTTTATTTCGTAATGCTTTTTAAAATCTGTTTAGCTTGTAATCCCGAACATTTTTTTATTGAATTGCCCTACGTGGGATGAATAAATAAAATATTTTTGTATTGTACCATTGTTCATCATTTGAACACTACGGTAAAACCATTAATTGAAGCTCTTGGCCAGTTAATATCGAGAAGAAGCCCATCTGAAATTGAAGCACCTCCCTATAGTTTGCAATATTAGCCTCGAGAAGAAGCCAACCCCGAAAAGAGGCCAATAGCCTTCTCTTTTCAAAATACCATATGCCTTTCTTGATAGTACAGTACATACACTGTACATAAATTTAAAATGTATATTAAGACACGCTTGGTTTATACAGTAGTTTAGTCTGTCTCTTATACACATCTAGATGTGTATAAGAGACCACTCCATGATACAGATTGATGTTATAGTGGCCTTATTTATTGTTTTATACTACCAATTGCCAAAATTGACAGCATTTTGAAGCCCCCTTTTTACTTTGCAATAGTAGCCTCGAAAAGAAGCCCGTCCGACTGAGTTCTCAACCTCCCCCCACCCCCTTCCAAAAAAAAAAAATAAATAAATAAATAACAAGCAAAAAACAAAACAAAAACAAAGAAGCCCAGGGCTTTCGAGGTTTTATGGCGTATATATGATATAACTGCTACTATAGCTTGAAATAATGTTAACTCCACTATGTATGAGCCCTCAGTGAAGTGGTTTTAGAATGCAGTTGCTAAATTCAACCACTCTATCTAGAATCGAAAGAAAATGTGGACATTAAGGGGTGGGGGGGGGTGCTATAATGACAATGACATATTCTGTGCCTGATAAAATTCTGAAAATGCAGTTGCTAAATTCAACCACTGTATCTAGAACAAGCGCGTAACAGGGGTCTTGGGTTGGGGTGGGGGGTGGCAACGGTAATAATTTTCCTGGTTAGTAATTTATCATA